ACCTCCACTGCACTTAGCACACCAAGTTATCAAATCTTTAAGTAAAGTATCAGAATTCTCCTTAGAAACTAGGAAGGACAACTCCACTTCAAGCCTTTTCAAATTCTTTAAACCTAATATTGACAATTGTGTTTCGCTAACTAAAAATTCACAAGGTATGTATGAAGAATTATCATCTCTTATTAGCAATTCACAGCATCCTCGTATGGGCAGTCTGTGTCCAGTAATCCCCAATATTGATACTTCAGTGGGTCGTACCACAACGTTAGGATCTAAAGATTTCAAGTTATTGAATAAAATAATGAACTCTATACTGCCTGTGTCCACAATAAAGTCATGAAATGGACCAAGCGATGTATACAATCGCTTTTGAATATGAGTATTACCTTTCGAAATGGTAGACAAAGATAAATGGTCATTAGGAACAACTCAATTAGTGGGATCCAAATTACAAGGTTTAGTAATGCTTGAGGCAAAATGAACAGTAGCTTTGCATACAGACGGAATGTGTCCTATCTTACCATATTTAAAACATTTACGAAATGCACACGAACTACGAGAAAGAAATTTTCCACATGATAAACATTTGCCAAACTTGATTTCACCTTTGTGATTTGCTTTGTAATTCCTTGTTGAAACACCTTTTATATTTACACGAGAATAGGAATCACTGTTAAACGAACGCAAGTTTCATTGACCGTGAGATTGTATTTCATCATGACGACTAAGTAAAGTATTAGAAATTTTCATTGACTGGATATAAAGTTCATTCACTACCTCGTAGTTAATACACGCAGTTCTAGCATCTTAAAAGAAACAGTTCGACATTTTTAACAGCTCTCTTTCCAGACCCGGTATGTTAATTCCTGCAATTAATCGATCGTTCAGTTGCACATGAAGTTGATCACTGAAATTACATTTGGCAACTTGTTTCTGCAATTCAAGGATGAATTCCCTAACCTCTTGGTCATTTCGACGCATCATCTTATGAAACTTCGCCTTTTCATCGCATTCAAAACTGGTGCACTTTACATGGTTTAATAATAGCTCCTTAAGAGTTGCATAAGGAAGTGAGATAGGTTTTTCTGGATATGCCAAATTTATTTAACAAGCGGTACGCTTCTTTTCGGATGAATGTCAGGAGATTTGCCAAAATTTTATCACCTTTGACATCTTTCTTAGTCATGCTCCAGATTTCAAACCTTTTCAAATAATCCTCAAATGCTTCCGAAGTTGAATGAATGTCCAACTTTTCCATTGCAGGTTCCATCACGACGCCAGTATAATGTTTCGAATGTTTGAATTATAGCACGAACTAAGAGTCCAAGAAATAACGCAACTGAATTAAGAAGACACAGGCACAACCGAATGTACTGTATTTGGAATTCGAAATCGTACAATCAACCAGTACAATAGTATCATTAGTTCGTTCAAACACCACATCATGATGGGACGAGTCAATGCAAACTATGATGTGACTTCCATGCGAAATCTTATAGATTAGGTAGTCACATCATGAGATATCTACAATTTAAGGATTAGGTCTACCATTTTAGTGACGAATACAAATGTACTATTGCCGAAATAAACCATCTTTCTTCATGTACACATCACTTTTTCTCGAAAAAATTCGAAGTCTATTTGAAATCTGCGATTCGCCGTTGCACCATAACATTTTTTGAATAAACAATATAAAACAATTAATAGAATGAGTTTTGTGGGGAATTTAGGAAATTTCACAGATTGAAATCATGAGTCAGTTGAAGCTAGACCACCATTGAAAACCTGGAAGCACTGGACAGCCGTTTCGTCCTGGTATGGGACTCCTCAGAAGTGCGCATTCACGATCCCGCACCACACAGGGCTCGAACCCAGGACCTACTGGCTTCGCGCGCGAGCACTTAACAACTAGACCACTGAGCCGTTATCCAACGGTGTTAATGTCCAACTTCAACCAATACACGAAGTTGCGCCACCGAACACCATTGTCTTCATTAACAAATTAACACCGTTGGATGCCGGCTCAGTGGTCTAATGGTTAAGTGCTCGCGCGCGAAGCCAGTAGGTCCTGGGTTTGAGCCCTGTGTGGTGCGGGATCGTGTATGCGCACTGCTGAGGAGTCCCACACTAGGACGAAACGGCCGTCCAGTGCTTCCAGATTTTCCATGGCGGTCAAGCTTCAATTGACTCATGATTTCAACCTGTGAAAAAAATTAATATTGCTGAATTTTAATGATTCCAACTCATCGTAAGTTTCTTTGATGTACTCAGAAATTGAAAATCAGGTAAGCAGTGGTTGTATGACAAGATATAGGGAGTCATTCACACTGAGAAGTGAAATAAGTTATACGGCAAGGAATCTAAAACTCTGTTATCTGATAATAAATTATTATCATATGTTGCAACTTGGTATTGCCATCAGTGTTAGATTCTCTCCGTAAACTAATGCCTTCCTGATAAACCTAATTAAATTCAACTATGCTAAATAAGAAGGTTAATTTCGACGACTGAACTGTCATCAACAATAGAAAAAATAACCATACATCGCCGTTAAATTTGAAAGCGAGCATAGATCTTGAGAAGAACTCTGTTAATGCATTGTCCATACAATCTATCTCTAATGTTCAACCAATCAACAAAAAAACGTGGAAATCTGGATCCCAGTCAAGCAGAAAAAGTTCCAACGATTTCCACTTTTTCTGGTCATAGATCATTTTGTCTCTGGGTACCATTTTCTCTACATTTTAAAAAAACCTCTGTTTAAGGACTGGACAGTGCAAAAAAGCGATTTCCAACGTCCGTGCTACCGATATCCCTTTGAAAGCGGCATGCAGTGCGATGAGTGTAAAGGTTGGTACCACGAAGTTTGCATGAATTTAACGCCTGTGGCTTTCAAACGGTTCAGTGAAAACGGTTGCGTATGGCTTTGTCAGTAGTGCTGTTTGGACGCAAACAGCTTGCTAACCGAGACCATCTCAATGGTAAATTCTGCAAAAAGTGTTTTAGCAAGCGCGATCGGGACACATCAGACAGCACTCGCTCTGTCGACAAGCAAATCGATGTCAAGCAAACTCAGGTGAGCTCGGAAACAGCCGACTCACATAGATCAATGGAGGAATGACAGTATTCAAAGAGATCTGTCCTAAATAAAGACTCAAGAAACGAAGTTTCCTTTGTCCTCTGTCTTCTAAATGGTATCCAGCAGGAAACGCCTTAGAACCTCAGTCGTAAGGCTCGATCGGTTTCTGTCGGAAACACAACCTGACTTCTCAAGTCATCGATAACTCTACGGAATCCCATAGTTGACGAATGGTTACAAGCTGTAAGCAAGAACTGACATAACGATATAAAAGAGAGTCCTACTGTCCCAAAAGTAGTCGAGAAATTGAAGATTGACCACAATGACAGGCCATTTATTTTTCATAGAACCAAAGAGAGTGAAAGCGCTGAACCGAAAACTCGTTTTGAGCATGAAATTGGGCTGATTAAAAAAGCTACTTAATCATCTTATGCCTCAAAACATCTCCGGAGTCACTTTGCTAAAGGTGTATGGAATAGGTGGTCAAGCGAACTTGAAATCTAATCAACCCAGGCTGTTTAAAGTAATGTTCAAATCCGCAAATGAACGGGACCTAATTTTACAGAACGGGCATAAACTAAAGGTCTCAGGAGTTTTTGTCCATAAGGACTTGCAGCTGGCAGACCGTGTAAAAGACGGGAAGCCGAAAAAGAACCACAACTTAGGTAAGACGCTGATGAAAACCGGATCCTTCCGGAGAAACAGCACGGTTTCAGAATAAGTTATTACTGTCTCACTAACTTATTGGTCGCTCGTGAAAGCTGTTGCGCTCTTAAGTACCAAATGTTACCTGTAGACGTAGCCTACATTGACTTCAGCAAAGCTTTTGACAAAGTTCCACACAACCGGCTGTTATATAAGTTAGAAAGTGTTCGGGTTGGAGGCAATCTATTGATATGGACAAAACACTTCTTAGTTGGGCGCCGAAAAAGAGTGCAGGTGAACTCAAAGTTGTCTAACTGGGAAACTGTACTTAGTGTTGTGCCCCATGGTACAGTTTTGGGGCTAGTGCTATTCCTCTTGTATGTAAATGACATTCCTCATCTACTATCATTATCGGCCTTGCTACATGCTGACAATTTCAAGACATGGAGAGCGATACGAAGTAAGGGTGATAGCTTTGAACTCCAAAATGACTTGAGAAAATTATCTGAATTGTCTCTAACCTGGCAGTTGCCGATTATTACTTTCAAGTGTATTGTGATGCATATCGGTCATCAAGGTGCAGATACATACACGATGAATAGCACTGGGCTACCCGTTGTCCAGACACACAATGACTTAGGAGTCATCGTTAGCCAAGACTTTAAGACTACTGCACACTGCCGTACAATAACCGACAAAAGTTTTAGAACTTTATGGTCAATACGTAGGGCCTTTATTCACGTCGATGCTAAAACATTTTTGACTTTGTATGCAGTATTCATGCGTCCTAAACTTGAGTGCTGCATACAAGCGGCTAGCCTCTGCTTAAAAAAGACAGTGAGCTTTTGGAAAAGATTCAAAGAACAGCAACTAAACTAGTTCCCGGAATAGCGAAGCCTCCGTGTAATACTCGATCACCCAAGCTAAACCTATTCTCGTTGTCATATCGAAGAACTGGAGGTGACTTGACTACAGTTTTCAAATTGCTTAGTGATAAATTTGCACACGATATGCCCTAGTTTTTCCAGTCTTTCAAAACAGAGAATTTACGAGAACAATCCAAAAAGGTTCATAAACCTAGAACAAACTACTTGTCAGCTGACTATCGACTTTCCCATCGAATCATCAACGAGTGATTGAGGCTTCATCCGTCGAAAGTTTTATCAACTGAGAGACAATCATTGCCAGGACTAACACAGGCCATCAAGCCTCCTGTCCTTCCAAACTGAAACTGAAAACTTGATGAACGTTGGACACTGTCTTTGTTGTGTTGCTCATAAACTCTGTACACTTAAGGAGCGCGGTATTGTGACTTTGACTTCGGTGGCGCTGGGCTATATATGATGGCTACGAACGACTCGGCCAAGCCAAAAGATCCTCCTGACGTTATAATAGATTTTACAAAAAAACGGGAGTTTGTCCGTGGACGGTTTTTGGGAAAGGTATTTATTGATTTTTAAGCATTGTGTTTTCAGGGAGGATTCGCAAAATGCTATGAACTTATTGATAAAAAAACAGGTGAAAAGTACGCCGGTAAAGTTATTAACAAGTCAGCCTTGGTCAAAGACTCCCAAAAAGAGAAAATGCGCCAGGAGATCAGTATTCATCGTTCTCTAAAACATGAAAATGTTGTTAGATTCTATGGAAACTTCGAGGATAGTGAATTCATATACATTTTGCTTGAACTTTGCAGCCGCAGAGTAAGATTATCTCATCGTTTAAGTCATTGAAATAGTCGCTTTTAGAACTACACAAGCGTAGAAAGTACGTCACTGAACCAGAGGCCAGGTATTTTATGAAACAAATTGTTCATGGCTGTCAATACCTTCATCAAAATAAGGTCATGCATAGAGATCTTAAGCTGGCCAACCTTTTCCTCGACGACAACCTGAAAATTAAAATAGGGGATTTCGGGCTTGCCTCGAGGATCAGTCATGAGGGTGAGAAGAAAAAGACGTTGTGTGGTACTCCCAACTATATTGCTCCCGAAATTTTAAGTAAAGGCGGACACAGCTTCGAAGTAGACTCATGGTCTCTTGGTTGTATACTGTATGTAGTTTGTGCTTTTATTCTGATTATTTAGTTATACTCTTCTAGTAGGGAGTCCTCCTTTCGAAACTACTAAACTGGAAGAAACGTATGCACGCATTAAACAAAATGAGTACCGCATTCCGATTCGTGTGTCAACAAATGCCTCAATGCTCATCCGCTCACTCTTACATGCCGATCCGGAAAGAAGACCAAATATGTTCGATGTACTCGATCATGATTTCTTTAAAGACTTTACACCTAGTGGTCTTCCTGTAAGTTGCCTTTCAACATGCCCCAGATTTGATACTATGCATCGACCACAAACCGGACGTCGCCCATTGTCTGACATCAACCCCGTTGAGGATGTTCCTATTACTAGTGGTGGTGGTGCCCTTGGTAACGTTGGTGGTGCTGCAGTTGATAAAGCCGTTCAGCCGGATGACTGCTGGCTTGGGTTACTTAAGCACAAAGTGAGTCATACATTTTCAAAAATCTAGTACTTTTCAGTTAGGTCGTGTGTTAGAGGAACCCAAGGAATTTGACGATTCATCACCAAAAGCAATGGAAGAAAGTGAGGTTCCAGCAGCCTGTCCAATATACTGGGTTAGCAAATGGGTTGATTATTCAGATAAATATGGTTTGGGATATCAATTGTGTGACAACTCATATGGTGTCGTATTCAATGACGTGACAAGACTCCTTTTAACAACCAATGAACAAAATCTTCAATACATCGACGAACATGGGACTGAACGTTTGTTTACTCTGTCTAAGCATCCGGAATATCTGTCAAAAAAAGTGACGCTTCTCACGTGCTTTAAAGCCTATATGCACCAGAATCTTCTTAAGGTAAGCTTTTGGTGTTCTCGTCTCGTCACTTGTACCCATTTATATAGGACTGTAACCTAGTTGAGTACACATTTTCCATAGGATGTTAGTATAATATTTTTGAGTTGAGTAATTACTGGCTTTTAGTATGATATGCTGGTGGAGTAAATTTTTTTTGTACGGAAGGTATGTATTTCTCATCTTGATTCATTGCACTATATTGCATTTTGTTTTCCCCAGGAAATTACCGTCCGAAGCTACATCCACAGACAAAATGTACTCACTAGTTCATGTTTCGAGGTTTCCCTGCGTCGACTGCTCTGTGCCCTCAGATGCCCTGGTACACTCGAGGGTGTAGAGGGTCCACTCGAAATTCTCATGTGACCACGCGTATATAACCATTTGTTAGAGAAGTCCTCACTGCCTCGTAGCGAGGGTGGTTACGAAGTCGGGGGAACGAAAGGCGCGTGTTCGACGCTTAAACTCGGTTAGTGGTTACGGAGGACCCATCTAGGGGAGTTAGAAAACTTATTCCAAACTAGTGGTTTACATAGGGTCCGTGAGAACAAATGGTGTATGAACCTACTCTTGGTCATTGTGGGGCCGCACCTACAAAAGTTACCCCAGAAACCTTTGAATTAGACCTCCAGGTCACAGGCACGACAGGTGGTCTCCTAAGAAGACCACGTTTCGGGCGTAGTATTCGGGCAGTGTCCCAACCCGCACACATCTTCATGATTAGTTCTTTATGAAAAATCTTACTTAAACTTCACACATGTTCCGTTGATACCCAGTTTATCAACTGATTTCTGTCATACATATCTTGTAGTTAGAGATTAAACACAGTGAACCCTAAATTCATCCCACTGCGTGGTTAAAAGTATTGCATTATAAGATAATTTGATAATGCTTACTATTAGTTACCAAACGGGTTGATTTCGTCTTATTTTCTGTTCGAAATAAACTGGTGTACATTCATTTCTTAAACCACATTTTTTAAAACTTTTCAGTCATGAGGACTGGTTCACACTGCGTAGTTATTAGTTTTGATTAATCCAATCATTTTGATGTGCTTCTAAATTAACCCAGGCTGGTGAGAATATTGCGCGACCGGACACTGATGCCATGACTCGTCTACCCTTTCTTCGCCGATGGTTTAGAACACGCTCAGCTATTGTACTGCATTTAAGCAATGGAACGTTGCAAGTGAGTTTAAATATCTCTAATGTCAATAAATAACATGAGACAAAGTTTTTATTTTTGATAGAATGATCATCCTAACATTTTTACATAATTTATTAGTATGTACATTGTTATTATATCAAAGTACCTGTTTTGAGTTAGGGGTTGTAGAGAGTTATACATAAATATTTTTGAACTTGATGGAAAATTAGTTAACTAGTAAATCAGCCATCATCGACGTACACCCTGAAACAAAAGTTGCCATACCCTATTTATTTATTTCAATACATAGATAATGGTACAAAGAGGCACCAAATACATATGCGCCACACAAATCTCATTCGATATGTGTGAGGGCCATACCCTACCAGCGCGACATGATGAAGGGTGACGAAATAGTGGTTCTTTGTGAGTTATCAAGTCTTGTATTTTACGGGAATCCTACTAAAATCCTCTTAAGGCTATAATCTAGTGTAAGTTGAATTCTCTAACCAAATGGATCACTACTATATTTACAACAACAGTTCAGTAGCAAGCCAATTAGATACAAGTATGATTGGAAGTTATGTGACCAGCCTTTCCTCTATACAATAGTATGACCAGTTGAGAGCATAGCCGGTGCAAAAACGTTATCTGGGGAATTAAATGAATTAATTGTGTTCGATTGTAACCAGGGTTCTCGAGTGAGTTTCTTCCTATCTTGGTAATATTTTTATTCTCGCTTTGTCTAAATTCATCAAGAGAAAAGTGAAAACTGGAGATATTTTCTTTTATGTTTTTAAATTAAGTAATTCAATTCAATCACACATTGGTTGCCATAACACATTTTCATCGCATTGTGTAAAAACTCATTGAAAAGTCCTTTGACCACCTTGTGATCCTCAGTTTAAAATCTGTTTCCTCACCGCTTATCATTGTAAATGTTGTAATATTGCATGCTAACCTTCACGATGGTGCATACTTCTATATAAACACTCTGAGGCTCTGACCTGAATATTTAGTGCAAGAAACGTTAGCATACATAGTCTCACGGTGGTAAGTGACCGAAGTGGGCCAACATGTTAGTCGTTCAATTATTTGCAGATGATTTAGATGAACAAAAGAAAAATCAGACTGTCAGTTTATGACATGAATAAAGGAAAGTTATATTGGCCTATTCAGGTACTCAGAACATGGTTTATTGTTTGGAGGCGCTTAAAAAGTTAGGTTCTGTGGACAAGAATTATTGTGAGACGACAAACTTCAGAAATTGTCCAATTTTATGCATTAGTTTACAAATGATTTATCTTAAATATAGTATGCAAATAAGAATTTTGTTCGTCCTGAAATCAAGCGATCGTTGCACACATCTTTTGTAAAGCTGTACATAAATCTTGCAATTAACGGGTTGTAAGTTTGCTGCAAGTAGCATATGAAATTTTGGATACAATTTTAAACACATGTGGAATACTTGAAAACATGACTCGCGTAGACCATTTGAGTTTTCGTTTAGGTGGTGGATGCGTTGGTCATATTTTCATTCGCCAGTCTTCTAAACATCGTTACACTTATTAATGTAATCTGTTAATTAATGAGATTAGCCTAAAAAGAGAATGGATAATAATACATATAATGTGTGCATAGGAGTAATTCATAAATTGGAAACAGAATATCTTTTGAGTGCCATCACGTTTATGAAATACATGTCACTTTACTATCCTCTCTTTGTAAAGTATAGTAATATTCGGATGAACAAAGTAAAGTAGATTGGGGATACAATTGCAGTGTACTTCGATTGGCTAATTCAGATGAACTCCCAACCCAAAGTTTATCAATCGTCAGATAAATCGGGTTTGTGATTCAGTAATACGGGTAATTTTAGCAGGAATTTATGCAGCTTTTAAAGTGATTTTGTAGGTCATTGGGTGAGAATAAAATTTGATGGATTAAAGTTCAGAACTCCACGTATGATGAACAAAAAAACCATGTAACACTTTTTGGTCAAATTTCGTTAAGAAAGGAATTTTCCAACACACTTAAGACATTCATTTAGAACAGGCTACAGTTTGCTGTATCCATCGATTTCCATATATTTTATCGGGTTATGTTTAACACTAATGTGTCGTGCGCATTGTGAAAGATAGTTATGCTTTATCTAAAAAGTTTCGGGAGTTGTAATTTTCTATTGTCTTATGTCTTCGTCATCGTCAAAGTCGTTGGGATTTTTTCTTAAAGCTAACATTACTTTATTTTACACACTCTTTTAGATAAACTTCTTTGATGATCATGCAAAAATCATTCTATGTCCCTTAATGCGTGCCGTAACTTATATTGATGCCAACAGGGAATTCAGAACGTACCGCTTCAAACATCTACGGGAATTCGGTTTAAGTAAGGACTTAGCAAACAGATTGAGATACGCACAAGAAATGATAGAGCGTCTCATCCCAAAATGTGGAACAATCTCCTCCAATTTAAATGATCCCAATACAAAAATGACTGTAGATAATGGGAAGTCCAACAAACCAGTTTCAGCGGATGTACAGAAAACAAATGCGACTGGGACTGGGGCAGCGACTAAGAAAATAACTCGACCGACTAATCAGTAGTTTCCGTTTTATTTTCTCAGTTTTTATCCTTCGAACTGAATTCACAATGTCATTGTCGTTTATACTTAGCATTATCTCTTTCAAATTGAATCTGATCTAATTTAGTCACATTTTTCTGATAGAAATTTTGTACACTTTGATTGCACTCCTGATTTGATCCATGGTTGTCCACAACACTACGGAGTTGTTAATTCACACCGATTCATCGGAATTTTAAAAATAGTATAAATATCTAGATTTCTTCATGTCTCTGTAACTTACATGTTGATCTGTGAAATCTAAATTATTGTAAAGCATTTCCTAGTGAATGGATGTGCTTATTCATCTTTTTCGACTATGAAATTAGTCGAAAATGGTATATGGGGGAAAGTTTCACATTCATGTCTTCCTTTTGACCTTTCTAATATTGTTTAATAATACCTTTAATTAGTATATGGCGAATTTTGTTAGGCACGGGTGTTTTGCAAGTATACATCTAATCATCTGACGTATAAAGTTTCAGACTATCTCATATAGAGCTTCTTTGTAAAGGCTTTCATGAATAAGTTACTGGAAATCTAAACGTTATGCACTGTTCCGGCAAAGTTCTTACTCTGTTCAACTTACAACTTTTGTAAAACGTAATATGAGGCTTCATAGTTTCTGAATGTAAATATTGCTTTACTCTCGATTGATTCTTAAGTCATAATTAGTTTTGAAGGTTACAACGTGAGTACAAGAGAGAAGATCACGTTCGTAGTGTTGAGAAAACTAAAAGAACGAGCATCAATAACGAAGTAGGATGCTAAAGGTTTTAGTTCGTGGAATCTATTTTGAAATTAATAGTGTTTAATCAACACAATAGTATGCTTTATGCAAGTTAAATTTCGTCTCCAATAGGTTTTTGCTAGTTTAATGATCATTCGGTCACCAGAAATGATAACAGGATTACTGATCTATACGTACCTCACGTCTATATAAACACTCTCGGTAGTTGTGATGGTTACACAATGCTGAACTAGTTTATTATTGCTTTCTCTTCGAATAATTACTGATCACTGAGGCAGTAGCTGTTCTCTCAACGTTGATCTTTGTGATAGGTTTTCGTAGCTACGAAATTTATCTGTGTATGCTGCTACTTCAATTTAGCTAGGTATATATAACTAGTGAATGAGGAAAATGTTGATCAAAGTAACGGGTGATAATGGATGCAGCAATTCAGAAGCATTTAATCACCAGGCTAACAAAGATCATATAACTTGCGAAATACAAATTTCATGTACTCAACTTTGAGTCGTCATTTTCTATAAATGCTCGAAATAGTATCCTAACGAGATGGGGCGTAGTTTGCACCAGCGACTTATCGGTTGAAACTGAAAAATATTTGTGAATCACTTTGTAACTGATTTCCTCTACAAACTCGGTAGTTGCATGATAAATCGGAACTGGAGCTCTATGGTGTGAGCTATCGACTGGCTTACAACTCGTTTCAGTAGGAGTAGGAAGTTGGTATTTCAAGCCTTAGTGTTCAGATTACGCCTTGAAGTTAACTGTGTAATCATGTACCTGATGACTAAGTAGTATAGGAAAATTATCATATGAATTGGAAACGCAGCATACTGTTACTGCAATATTCAAGACTCCTGTATGATAATCAAATGTACATTGTAAACAATCTTAGTGGCTATGGGGATTTCGGAATACCGTATTGGTTCTATCATATTTTGCTCAACTAAGCGATAATTAAACATTTCGAAAATCCATTATGTCATGCTTAACATCATTGACCCGAATATATCCAATATATATGTCTTAAAATATGTTTCTGAATTAAATTCACTAAAAAACAATATGAAGAGAATATTGATTAGAACTTCATTTTTGGAGTAGGTACCGTTTGATTTATCTACGTTTTCTGTAAAATTTAAGTATCATACATTTCGTATAGAAGAAATATGCCATCTGACATTACAATTTTAAGTGTTATTACACTAAACAGAAGGAAAAGACTGATCATTTCACCCACTTGGATTACATATTCGGTTAAGTCTGTCAGTCCGTGTTGTGAAGCGACATGTGTGCTTCAGGCTAATGATGTCTGGAAAAATCCGTGTTCTGGAACTTGTTTTTGTGGTAGAAGCGCTAATTTTCATATTCAGTTGTGCTTCAGCATGATCAGTTTTCCTTGAATTGAGGTAATTTTACTGAATCAGATTCGGTACCACTTCATGTAATCCATATTAGTGCTTACTATTTTGGTACTAAATACCTACAGGGACCTACATATTTTATTATCCTGAACATCTTTCACCACAGTAAAAAGTACGTTCCCTTGGAAATTTTTTGTCTAAATGATGTTATGGAGTATTTTCTTCAAAACAATCTTTTGTGGTGTTTGACGAATCTAAACAAAATCTGAAGGGCTGTCAGTTTTATAGTTTCTCAAATTCATCCTGTTGTTACAGCAAAATAAATAGCTCGAAGAAAATAGTACTGTATTATGTTGGTCTCTGTGATGAGAATTTTGATAAATATAGTTTGTAGTTCGAAATGCTCTCACATGGCCACGCGTATATAGCCTCTGCCAGGGAAGTCCTACTCACTGCCTTCTCGTGGCGGGGGTGTTGTTCACGAAAATGAGAGGACGAAAAGCGAATGTCCGGCGCTTTAACTGGATTCCAAACCAATGGTGCACATGGGCTCCAGTATCCTGAGGGAACAAATGGCGTATGAACCAATTGTTGGTCACCGGCTACCATGGGACTGCATCTCCTTACGATGCTCCATTGCCTTGTGAATCAGACCCTCAGGTCGAAGGCTCGGGGTGTGGCCCCCTATGAAAACCACCTGCTTCGGTCTGGGCACCCGGGCAGTATCCCAGCCCTCACACATATCGAATGAGATTTGTGTGGCGCATATGTATTTGGTGCCTCTTTGTACCAATATCTATGTGTTGAAATAATAATAATAGTTTGTAGTTTAGGTGGTTATGAAGATTACTGAATTTTTAGTTTTACATCACAGGCTGTCCTAAGTTAGACGAGGATTGGAAACCAAGACGCACTAGATAATAGTTTCTTACAGCATATGAGGTTCACCGCCAGGCATCAAGGTCCAATGCTTTCTACTTTTCAACGACTGTCTAACTAATTCTAGTTCATGTTTGGTGAAAATGAGCCGCGACTGGATACTGATCAAAAATTAGTTACCAATCTATAATTTGTAATATATATAATTAATTTTATATTGTAATTCTGATTACGTCAGGGTTCACTGTGTAGACCTGATTGTACTTGTATTGAACATACTACTGTCTAGTCTATATTGTGGTTCTCAGTCGTTGGTCAAATTGTTTGGTGGGTACCACATGATCTAGTATGCCTAGTTTATTATCCAAAGTATCCAGTGGTAGAATTTATTATCAAGTGCGTAAGTAGCAAGACATTTTTTGACATTAAATCACAGCCCATGATATGAAACTACGAATACGGTTAGAGAAGGATCTTTGCATCCTCAAAAACCATTTGCATCTATTATTCTAACGAATATTGCGTATGTGGTCCACTCAGAAATCTCTATCGACCATGCAAAATGGCTTTGCTTTATAGGAATTTTTATTTACAAAGCTATGTATAAAATGCCGAACATTTTTAATTACTTAGATGTAAAATTCCCTACGATTAGAAATAGATTCTTCCAGCGTTTCACTTAACAATCAGCGTAGAATTCGTCAAAGTTAAAAATATGTTACAAAAAAATCACTACCAAAGAATCTACAAGCGCCTTGACATGTTCAAATTCATCTTCGAGAATGACTCATCTGATTCTAAACAAAACCTAAAGCTATAATGTGGTAGCTAAATTTAAATAAAAAATCAACACTCATACCATAACACATATTTTGCACCGAATGACTCACATTTACACAAACCATATTCAACACGTGATTATGTTTAGATATGATATTTGTTTTTGTGACCTTAGTTGTTCTGGATAATTTCGGTAACTAAAGAAATCTGGGGTGGGATACCGAACAAAACACTAGAACTACTTGATTCCAGTTGAAGTTTTTGAACACGTAATTTTGTATTTAATACCACTTATTCGGCCTGCAGTTCTTATGAAACTGGTGGAAATTCTCATAAAATGTCTTCATCTAAATTTATGTATGTATAGATATAAGTGAAATAAGAAAAACAAGCAAAATACCATGGGTCCACTTATTTTGTTGATTCTCTTCGACTGCGCACAATCTATTAATAGTATTGATTATTTCAAAACGGTGTACAAATTCACATAGTAGTACCAGGAAATATTCATTAATGAAGATCAGTTATATTCATATGATTGGATGTTTATGTGCTAGATAGCGTGAATCTCCTTTATTCAAACCTATCATCAACTTTTACAATAGAAAAAAGTATAAGATACTCATCTTTTTTTTTTCCATTTATGATAGATCACATAACTGTATAGGGGTCTGTTTAACAGGCTAACATAAATACATTGAACTCAAGTTGCAGTTTGTAATCTTTACAATACTACTATATATTTGTAAGTAGTTTGTCTCTAAACTCCGAGGTTGCCCACTGGGTCTTTCTTTTCTATATAGTAAAATATCATAATGTTTAGCTACTTTTGTTTTAAGTTGGAAACATTATATTTATCAGAGATCTTTTAGGTTCGTCACAACGGAATCATTCTTAGTGAGACTAGCTAAGTCGAAACAACATTGGAATTTAATTTAAATGAACATACAACTTCGAGAATTTAGATATGCAAACAATGTACAACTTGAAACGAAGTGTACATGTTTCCAGACTTCATTTTTGCTGATAAACTCCCATCTGACATTCATATCAGTTCAATTATAATTGGATTTAAAGAGGACCTATTTCTTGTGTGAAATAATTTTTCGTCATTGATTATTCTAGTAAATATTAACATCAAGTTCATCAACAAAAATAATCTTAGTAGTATTAACCTTGGCCGTAATATAAAAGCCGCCATCAAAACACGTAAACAGAATGCAAGCTCTAGTGTAGATAACATCACATCGGTCTTTTAAAAATGGCAAGACCGGACAAAAGAACATATATGTTGTCCCAAAACACTAATCAGGACCGAAAAACCTGGTCCAAAACTACAGACCAATCATGCACAATGGAAAATGAAACAAGATTAATTTAATCGACCCGTCGCAACACGGCTTCATTAGAACAAGATCCTGAAGTACATGCCTGACCAAAAGAAATTAGTGCTGATACTACATTTTGGTGTCAAAAAAGCTTTTGATAAGGTACTTCATAACTTCCTAATCATCAGACTTCAGTCAGTTAGAATTACTCACCCTCTGTTACAATGGATTAGATTGACAAGAACGTACTGCCCAAACTCACATCAGTAACTGACCTAGAGATGCATTATTCACGCAGTCTTAATTTCTCTGAACACATCTCCACTTGTAGCGGCTTGGCTTCGAGATAATTCCTTAGACTTCGTTTATCAAACACCCTGATAACCATTATTAAATAAATTCCAACGGCGTAAGCATTCAGAAGGCAATACTAAGAGGCAACCACAGTTTATTATTGGA